GTCATATTACAGTATGATAAAAATTTTCTTCCGATTTTATATGCACTTTATGATCATAAATAACTTCATATGTCTTTCTTTGCTTTTAATGCCCAACTTATATTCTACAAGTAACATCTTCTATTAATTTTTTTCATTATTTTGTAGAATCAATTCTAAGTACCTAAACATGGAAACTTATAGTATAATATCATTTCTAATTTTAACTTCTAAAGCATGATTCTTACATTATTTTTTAATAAACCTACAATGCATATCCTATCTTACTTTTACTTAAGCAAAAATCTTTAGAGTCTAAAGTTTCCTTCTATAACTCAAGTTTAACATTAACTCTTTTTTTTAATCTTCAACCAATGTTATGTTATCTGCAAAAAAATATGTATTTAAAGATAATTTTTTGTATGTTACTTGTAAGCATATTTAAAACTAGATTAAATAGGAGCTTAAAGCGAAACCTTATATAAACCTTTTTTTTTTTTATTAAATATCATTAGATACATCTTTCTTTTTAAAAGCTTTCTATAATATTTTTTCATGATAAATGATCATATATTTTTTAATGTAAATAAAAATTATGTTTTTTTTTTTTGTTGGTAACGACACTTTTTCACCATCTTGCAAAGGCAACAAAGGATGGAAGAGAAGATGTAAACCCATCACCCAACACACCCGAGGCTAGAACGAAAGTGATTCAAGCTTTTGATAAATCGATTTCCTTTGGATTGGTTCATTTGACACTAAAACCAACCAAATCTGACTGATTATCACCCCATATTTTTCTAAAAGGAGACCTTTGAGCTTGTCTAAAGATAGGAATTATACAACTTATGGCTCATGCATCCTTCAATCCCTTAGTGCTACCAATAGTATTACCACCCTATTCCTTAACAACTCAATTGTCTTTCCTGTGGCAAGATTTTAGAAAACACAATACGGAAGTAAAAGAATGTTACTTCACATTTTAAATCTATGATATTAGTGAATGGAAATAAGATCATTGGAGGGTTTCAGAAAATAAAATACATTATAAGGGAAGGAAGGTTGAAATTGAAAGAGGAAGAAGATTATTCTTGAAAGCTACAGGAACGAGAAGAAGAAAATAAAATAATGACTAAATTGCACCGTTAAAAGAGTGTCTTCTTAAAAATAAAAATAACTTATATATTATTTGAGTTCCACAATATAGAGCTATGTAACTTGTGAAAGTTGCATCATTAAGGATTGATGCTCTAAGTTTGGGGATAATTTGATTAGCATGCCTTTATTGGAAGCCGTGTTGTCTCATGCTTCCGGTTGTAGGACTATCTTGTCCGAATTTTTTTCCTTAATGTGGTTTAGCCTTTTTCCGCTCTTAAGTATAGTTCGAACAAATCGGGCTTGCTAGTGGTATTTTCATCGTTGAAACATTGAGGCGTATAATACTAGGGGGTCACTAGAACTTAGAGGTATACTGTACGTCAAATAAGAGCATTTTTTTTAATGTATGATATAGTGGACGATGGAGTTCAAGAGAGAAATAGAGGACCACCATTACAAGTCTAATGGAATAAAAAGAGGAACCAATAAACTGCATAGGATGATAGGACCAATGCTACTGGTAACAATGGCCACAAAAAGCTACAAATTAGGGCATACAATTAGTAGTTAAGTTATACTGTCTCAAAAGACAGTCAAATGACCCCTGACACATGACAAGCTAGCGGAGGTCGCGACAACTGGCTAGAATAAAGATGGTAAGGTAATCTTAAGCATTGATCTAGGGTTTTCAGCATTGTGGAGGTTACTTACACAATGGTGTGCAAACCTAAAAGAGGAATGCGCAACGAAGGTAATGATTGGATGGCGCACTGTGAATAAGAGCACCCCCAAGTAGTTCAACAATGAAGGCTAAGGGATTAGAACAATGACTCGCGAATTAAGAGTTCTTATGTCAACTTGAAAGAGAAAAGACGGAAATCTGGATATTGAAAAATTAATAATATTTTCTAATTGAACATAGTGCAACTACTAATTTCAATATATATGCTTATTTAATAAATGCTAACCTAGGATATACAAATATAGAATTGCCCTAATTACAAATAAATAAATAAATGAGAATAATATACGAACAAGAATACATTATACAATAATACATGTGGAACAATAATTAATAAAATAAAAGCAAATTTTGTATTTTGTTTTTCAATTACATTTTGGGCTTACGAAAATGATTGTAAGTTCGACAATATTTGTTTATAAGTACAAACCGCTACCTCTGTAAAAAGCTAATATCGTCTGTTGTGATATCTATACATAAAGTGCGATAAAGATAAATAGCTCAACTTCGTGTATAATATTCGTAAGGCTTAAGAATTTCATTATGCCTTCATATACACTTTGTTTGATATAATTAGTTTAAAAGTTAGTTGAGAGTTCAAAATTAACGACTTTGCACAAGGTAGCTTGTTAAATTAAAAATGTTTGACAAAATTATTTATTAACTTAGTTGATAAATATAAAATGACAATATATATATATATATATATATATATATATATATATGATTTAAAAAATACATGTACAGAAAAATATTTTTAATTATAATTTTGGAATTATTAATTCATTGTAAACTCTTGTTATTTTTCTCTTATAAATCAAGTTTTCTATTAGTAATTAGAATATATAATGTAAAAATATAATAATTAAAATAAATAATATAACATAAAAATAATCCAAAAATAGTAAAAATATTAAAACAATTAAAAAAATATTCAGCAGGATTTAAAATACAATTAATGATGGTATCACAAATTAGTAAATATATAAACCATCTAGCATTCTACAATAAATCAGCGATATTGCTTATCATACACTTCTATTTTGGTTAAATAATTTTATAAACAAACCAAATAAATCAGAAGTTAACTAAAGTCTTACCAAATATCTCTTAAAATTAAACTTGAATTTTAAATTACAACCTTAATTTATGGCCTATTTCGTTTGCTGTTGCAAACTCACATAATCAATTCTCTCAATAAATGATCATGATTTGTAACGTACGAAATCTAATGCACGTTATAGGGTAGTGATATTTTTAGTTTCCAAAAGAATCAATTCTAAATTTTATTCAATTAGGTACTAATGCGGTGAGTGAAATTAGTGAAAATATTAATAAAGATATGACGATCCCAGCGATTGCTAAACAAGTATGAGGTAAAGTTTTATCGGAAAAGTGCATTAAAGCTCCTGAAATTTTCAATTGTAATTAATATATTTCTTAAACTCTAAAATGTCAATATTTATCTTTTAAATTAAATTATAATAAATATTAAACAATATGTTATTATCCTTCAAAATATACTATATTGTTATTTTAATTCTTATAATTTTTTTAATCACTGCGTTTTTAAAATTGTTGATTTTATTCTTTTTCATTAGTATGGCTTCATAATTTCTTTTTTGACAATATATAAATTAACCTTGCTATCGTTTGACAATAACTAAAAACTCCAAACTAATCAGATTTTATAATGTAAAATAAAAAAATTATATATATTAAACATCAAATTTTGACATATTAAAAAAAATCTATTTAACCTAATTAATATTATAATAACTTATTTATTTATTTATTTTGCGGAGACTAAGGTAGAAATATAGTATTGTTTATAATCCCGTGTGTGATTATTGAGATTGTAAGTTTCAATCCATAATTTTGTTTTTATAAAAATTAAGATGAAGTCTCTAATTAACGTCATATACATTACATGCCATGAATTGACTATCTTTGTGCGAAAATGAGTGAATCAAAGAATGCCAAATTTTCTCCGACTATATAGAAATTCCATATATTAATGACTCTCTAAGATTTCAAGTGCTTTAGCGTGAGAATGTGCACTTCAGGAACGAGGAATATAAAGATCTTTAACGGTGCGTCATCTAAATAACCTAGACATAGATTAAGTGGATGTTATTCACTAAGATACTCAGACAGAAATTCCAACATCTGATATGAGCAAAAGCAAAGTTTGTAGTGTCTATAATGGTAATACTTATAATCATAAATTCACAATGATATCTGAAAATAGCACGGAGTTCATCATCGATCTCAAACATGGTGTGAATGTTGTGTTTCCTGCGCCTAGACCAACCACTAGCTGTTTGACAAGCTTCGTGTCATTTTTGAATAAAAGCTTATTTAAAATATATTGGCTGGTTTTCTATCAATTTTGGAAAACGGGGCAAACCAAAATTGAAACAAGTGCAACACTAACCCTCCACCCCAACATCCTTAATTTATGGACACAGCTGAATCAGTTTTCCACTTTAAACTAACTACGAGTAAATGAGCAATGACAACTCACAACTCCACTTCCCCTAAATACTCCCGCTTAAAGTCATTCATCGATGCACTTGCAACTGTAGTAGCCAGTAGTTACTAGCTGCAAAATAGATTCTGTCTTACTGATAAACATCTTCTAGAACTCAACTTAGGTTTCCAGTAATTATTATGGGCCTCTTTAGCGCTACAACACCCTTATTTTTCATCCAACACGTTCTAAATACTCTGTGCATCTATTAAGAAAACACCAGCTATCGTCACTCCAACACAACTAAGTGCTTTTATTACTATAATATTAATTAAAATCCTGTGACTTGTGTTGTTAGCATCCTTATCGGTCCCATGGCACCGCAAGAAGCTCAATCGTGCAAGTGCTATTACTAACCGTACCGTTATTCTAATTATAAACCGTATGCGTTTTAAAGGAAGCATCACTGATCTCTAACGTAACCAAAGGCTTTCATTACTGTTAATTAAATATTGACTATATTACATATATACACACAGGATTGAATTTTCAAATTTTATATGACATCGTCACGTGCAAAGTTTATGACTAATATCTTCAGCAACGAAGTAATAATGCCATTACGAACAAAAACAACACAAACAGCGTTGAAAATCGATGCACAAAATTTGAAAGTCAAATTGATAAAAAGAGAAAGGAATGGAGTACCTGGTACTGGCGAAATCGTAGAGTTTGCCAGTGCTGGAGAAGATCATAACTCCTACCTCAGCATCGCACAAGATCGCAAGTTCCTTGGCTTTTTTCAGCAAACCATTCCTTCGCTTCGAGAACGTTACTTGCCTACTCGTCGAATTGTCGATCCTCCTTATCACGATCTTTCCTCTCCCCATAGTAAACCCTAACAATCAGATCCTTCCGAACCAGAATAGCGCACGCTGCAAACAGATCAAAAGAAAAAACAGTGGTTGTTTAGTGCGAAAATCGAAATCGAAAGCAAAAAACCAAAAAGAAAAAAAAAATTGGTTGTTGGAAGAGCGAGGAGAGAAAACGCATCGATCCATATGCTATAGTGAAGAGAGAAAACGGATTGATTTTCCGAGAAAGACAGAGAGAATCTTATAAAGGAAAAACAGAAAAAGAAAAAAAAAGGAAAAGGAAAACGCTGTGAGAAGAAAAGAAACAGAAAAGAGAGAGAAGGGAAGGGAAGAGAGTGCTCACTGAGGAATGCGTTTGTTATAACAGACAAAGCGTGAATTCACATCAGCGGACAGCGGCACGAGCTAGCTATATAAGGAAAGTGATGAAACCGCTTTTAGTTGGTTCCGCAAAAACCGCTTATTAAAGCGACCAAAAACCACTAGCGGTTTTAACGAACTGAAACGTGGCCCAATCAAGCTCTTACGCCTAGGACTGGATTGGCTCATCCTATTTGTTTCTTGAACTCGTGCCGACCACCTTTGTTACAGTGACGCGTGGAACTACGAATACGCATTCCGTAGATCATACCGTATTTGCTTTTTTGGGAAATGGCGCTTTTTTCAAATAATCGCGAGGACTGCACCGCCAAAATGCACTCGCGGTTTCTAAATGTCTAATATGTCCTTAGTCCTTAGACGCAGACTAATATTTAGATTATGCTTATTAATATACGGGCCTTTGGTACAAGAAAGTACCACGTGTTGCATTTAAATTTTATTTTATTTTATATTTTTTGCTATTTAAATGTTATTTTTTCAGTTGTTAGAATGTTACAAAGCGTATTTGTTTCTTAATTTTTGGTTAATCAATCAACATATTTTTAGAGATGAAAATCATATTTAAGAATGTAATGGTTTATTTCAGTAGGTTAATTTTAATTAATTTCAATCCTTTAACGAATTAAAATATAATATTCTATTTTATCTTTATTTTTTAAAAATATACTATAAATACAAAATAGAAGTTGTATATATTACATTTTGTTTTTCAATCCATTTAATGAACGCTTTTTTTTCATATACAATCCTCAATTACAAGCTCCACAAAACAATCATTTTTATATAGAAAATAATTATTTCGTAATTAACAAATGATACTACAGTATGTACCAAAATATATAGAAAATATTAAAAAATATAAAAATTTTATTAAAAAACATTTTTATATTTTATATAATTAATATATTTTAAAATTTTTAAAATATATTAACTCGATTTAAAATTTGAAGATAAGAGAACTCAAAAATATATTATACCATGTTTATTTATGACTCAATTAGTAGGCGAGCGCAATCGCTGTCAGAAAGTGCGGCAGACAATTATTTTTTTATTGTTATGATAGCTTGTCAATAACATTGATAATGTACTATACATGAATTAAGAATTATATGCCTAATTCTTAAGATTATAATTAGGGCAAAAGTTTAATTAATGTGCTTTTTATTTAAATTATAATTTCAAAAAAAAATCTTAAACATATTTTATACAAAATTTGCATTTTAATTTTTTAAATATTTTTTTATTTTAATTTCTGTATTTTTATGATTTTTTAAAGTTTTGTTAATATGATTCACTAAAAGAATATTATAACATTATTAAATATTTGAAATATACAATAATTGTAAATTTTAAACTAATTATTATAATTAATAATTCTCATTGATATCAAATTTCATTAAAAAAATTTATAATTGAATAAGAGTGTAAACAATTTTACAATCAATGTTAATGTCTTATAATTAAACTCTACAGATTATCAAATTCCAAGAGCTCACAGAGGTTGAGGCTCAAAAAGTGCTTTTAAATTGTATTTTTATAAGATACAAATTCAATCTTTATTAGTTGGTCGTCTATAAGATTTTTTTTATAAATAAATATATTGTAAAATTTTATATTATATATATATATATATTAAAAAAAGTAATAAATATTTGATAATATTAGTTGAAAATATTAAATGACAAAATATCATAGCAGACAGACTCAATGAAAAATAATTAACGGACAAATGAATATTATGGCACGAGATTAGAAATATATAAATTTAAAAATAAAAATAAAACTATACAAAATTAAGAAATAATTTTCATAATTAAAAGTAAAAAAAATATTGTTTTACTCCACATCCAAATTATTTTACGCTTGTTAACGTATAGCATATTAATATATATAGTAAGTATCAACTTCAAAATCTTAAAAAGGGAAAGTAAAAAGATTTAAATTTAAAAATAATTAATTTTTATATTATTTGAATAAGATATAGATGTATTTTTAAAAATTTTGTTCAGTTTAGAAAATATTTTAACATTTTTGTTAGTTATCATAAATTTAATAGGAAAAATTTTATTCATATTATTGATAAAATTAGAAAACTCAGTTTTATAGAAAATGAACTCATTTCCATGGAAGGCATTATTCTAGTTGTCATACCTTACAAGTATTTCTACTTACACAATATAATCTTTGTTTCTCCCACCTTGATTTGTGATGAAATCAATAGGATTTGCAAAGATTTCATTTGGGGCTTCTTAGGGAGTTAAAAATGTCATTTAATAGGTTGGAATAAAATTTGCAAATTGAAAAAATGATAGGTGTTGGATTTTAAGAATATTAAGATTCTTAATAAAGCTTATTTATTAAAAACTTTGTAAGAGATTAATTAATTCTCTTAATGATTTATGGACTCATGTTATTAAAAATAAATATAAGTTTATTTTTGGTCATAATCCTTGTATAGGTGAATCCCATAAGGTCTCTCATCTTTGGAGAGGTATGATGACCTATTTTTTTAGGATTTAGATTATGTTCTAGGAGATGGTTCAATTATTAAATTATGGACTAACAAATAGATTTCTTGCCATAACCTTTTTCTCTTCTCAGAGAGCTTAGCAGTGGAGTAAGATTAGAGTCTCTCTTGTTCAATTGTACAGTTTAATAAGTGACCTTAGTTTTTTGGGACTTAACTAATAATGACAATTTTCTTTTAAAATTACTTACTTCCTTTTGTCTAAATACTTTTATAAGTCTACTTTTTGCCTTGACATTTTTAAATTGGTTTGGAAGTAGGATGACCCTCCAAAAATAAACATGCTTCTATAGAAAATTTTTCATGGTAGGTTACTTACTAACTTAAAAAGATGTGGGAAAGGCATGTCAACTTCTTTTACTTGTCCTAAGTGTGGAGAAACTCATGAATCTATTATTTATGTTTTGCGTAATTATTTCTATGTTAGTCAAGTGCAAGAACATTTTATTTTACCTAAAAACTGAGTTATTTTTAGCATTAATTTAAACATTTAGATTAGTGGTAATCTATCTATATACACAATAGTCTAGTAGTTTTCTGATTGAAATAGATTATTTGACTTTGTAATTTGACACACAGTGGATAGATAGGAACATTTTTATTTTTCAAAAATCCTATTTTCTGTTCAAAATTTTAGTTCATAAAATAATATGTAATTTTGATTACTTTAATTGTTTATACATGAACAATTTTAAACTTATTTCTAGTTTTATGTACTAACAGATTCATGTCAAGTAAATTTTTTCTAGTTTTAGTCACTTCAAACTCAACGTGGATGGTTTGACATTTTCAAACCATAGGGCAGTGGATGTGGTAGCTAGATAAGAGATGACCATGGTAATTTCATTGCTAGGTTTCATGGAAGTATCAATCCTTGCTCACAATTGATTGTTTAACTCTTATCATTTTACTAGGAATTAAATTTGTTGTTCAAAAATAATTTTAATTTATTTGAGTTGAAGAAAACTTTGAAGAAATATTATCTCTTGTGTTAAATATTTAAGTTTATTTTCATCCTTCTCTCATCTTTCTACTCCTCTACTTTTTTTATATTAGAGACTTGTTAACACAAACTAAATTTATTAAGTTCAACTACATTTATAGAGAAGTAACTTAATATATTGATTGACTTGCTAAATTAGGTGTCCTTTTCTTTGTTTTGATCATTTCTTTTTATTTTTGTATCTTTTTTTATGGTTAGATGTACATAGATTGTAACGTTTTCTTTGTTTAAACTCTTAGCCCATTTTCTAAGAAAAAATTGCATTATTTTATTTAAAATTAAAATTCTATTTTAATAATATCTAATAATAGTAAATATTGATATTTTATAATTACCCTACAACTTCCTATATGAATATGATAGCAATCCATTCCATGGAGATACAGAAGGAGGTGCTGTCCCATTGTTGTATTGTAAATAAAATAATTAAAATAAATATTTTAAAAATGTAACAATATCAAATAATAATAATTTATTAATTTTTGGTGTGATAATAATTTATTTGTGAAAAAGGAATTTTTCTGCGACCAATGTTAATTTACAGTCTAGCTCATAATTTGTTTATGTATTTTGACTGAACACATGGCATTCTACTAGTACATCGTAATTTTCAAGTTGGCTGTCTAACAATAAATAACATTAATATCTCATATGAATATTGTTTTGAAATAAGTATGTACTTAATAATTTCACTCTATTAAGAAATTTAATATATAACTCTCATCGATGGAAAGGATATATTTATTGACGCATTATCGTTCTTTTACATGATTTATAATATATCCAACAATTATCTTTATAATTATTGAATTAACTGGGACGTTTACTTTTTCAAGGCATCAAAATATGCAATTTCTCATGTTAAAAACTATGGTAGTATTCGATCAAAGACTTTAGTCAAGGAAATAAAAATTAGTTATTAAAAAATAGGCGCTACCTATTAGTAATTTGTATGCATTATTAAAAAATAAAATTATATTTTCTGTTAAATATATTTAAGATATTAAAAATGAAAATTAATTAATACTTTTAAAAATAATTAAAAATGAATATTAAATAAGATATATTTAATATTTTTAATTATTATTCTTAAAATACTAATTG